TTGCTGGTAACCAGCTTCGCCAACTTCGTACAGAGCTATTGACGACGAACGTGTGTCCAAGCTCAAAGTTGCTGAAACAGAAGGACACTGAACTAGGGTCGACCTCGCATTCGACTATCCCCGAGCACGTTTCTCCCAATCGTGTGTTCTTCTGCCCACGCACGAAGAAGCTGCGAGATTCGCGATGGTTACGAACCACGTCGCGCCAGATTACCCGAGTTGAAAGTGCTAACGAACTTCACTGTATAGACAGGGTAGCCTGGGAAAATTCGCGCGACTCGGATTTTACTGTACAAACTCGACCTTTGAAAGTCGAGCATTTCTTGTGCCATGTGCTCCACGTCAAGGTGAACACGCGACTCGACAATGAAATGACGAGATAGTCGACTACAGGTCGACCTGCGTTCAATTGCAAAAATTCGACTAAAAAAACATGAACTAAGACCTAAATTTAAAAAGACACGCGCCCTGATTTGTTTCGAATCACCGCTGTCTCCACTGTCGGCCCGTTGTTTGCTGCGCTGTTCTCGTCGCATCCAATCCAACCTGCTGTCTGCACCATTTGCAGATCGCGAAAGTCGTTCGCTAGCCTTCATCATTCGCGAATTTAGTAACAATAAACAGCCATCTCTTCTCAGCCAATTGCATTGCGCTCTTTGCAACCTCACATCCCTGCCGCACACTCCAGTTACCTTCTCACTCCCTCCCTCGTGCCCGCTACGCGCTGCAAGGTCGACTGGAATGTGGTGGACGCATTTATGACGTGGCAAAAAGTGCATTGAATGGCACTGTGCGTACAGTACTAGTACACTACTGTAGCAGTACTGCAAAGATCCCATGCGCCCCATTTCCCCTCCACTCCAATCCCCTTTTCCCAATGCAGCCAGGCCCTTCCTGCTCCCTCCCACGCCCCTCAACAAACCCACCTTTCCTACCAGCCTCTGACTCTCGTCATAGGGTTTTCAGCTTAGCAGGGAGGGGTATCCCGACCCCTCCGCTTTCATGTTAGGGGTAGCGCTTTCTGCGCACAGTTTCCGCTAAATTCTGGGCTAGGGGGGGAGAGTTACTTTTCAGATTAGGGACTCGAGCTCTCAATGAGCCACGTTTCCCAGTTCTCACAGAGAGCTCACTGCAGGTGTTCAATCACATACTCTCCACTGTTCTGGTTTGTCGTTTCTACTCAATATATTACACTCGAAATACCCCAACGGACACGCGAGCAAAAAAATAAACCCCAGTCGGGAAGGCATCCGGTCAGGGAGGCATCAACCCTAAACACCTTGTGGCATGGTGTTTAGGGCTGATGCCTCCCTCGGACGCATTTTAGGGAGGAATCAACCCTAAACACGGGACCCTCTTTCTTGTTAGGGTTGATGCCTCCCGAGTCACACCCCTTCTCGATTGGGTTTATTTTGTTTCGGTCAGTAAGGGTGCACATATTCTCAGGGTTTCGGGTGCAATGTAATTTGGACGAGAAAAAAAAAACAACAACGGCCACACAGCTTTGGGAACAGTGAGCTGACGAGCTAGCCTGGATTCGGTAGAAAAGACAACAAGCGCAGTGCAGAATCTGAGATTGTAGATATACAGTGAGAGAGCTGTGTAGGACTAACCACGTGGCTCATTGAGAGCTCGAATCCCTAATCTGAACAATAACCCTCCCCCCCTAGCCCAGACTTTTGTGGAGACTGTGCACAGTTCGCACTCTCCCTACCCTGAAAGCGGAAGGTTCCAGATACATGTCCCCGCTAAGCTGAAAACCCTCGTCATACCCATAGTTTCTTCCACTACACTAACCCCGCAGTCATGCACAAGTGACATCCATTTGGAAACCAAGAGCACATCGTTCAGCTGACGAGCACCACCAGAACACGGGGTGCGCTGGCTTGCAGTTCTTGCAGCACCACTCTTCGAATGCACGAGGCCGAAGTTGCGGTCGAGTCATGAGTCTCAGCGTCGGCCCCTCGTCGCTGCCTGTCGACGGCTTCTCCGACCCCTACGAAACCGCGTACCGCTGCCGCCCGCCTAACTCCACCACCGGACTGCACCGCTCTCACGCTAGTGAGCATCAAGCGATGCTTCCAGGAAGCCGAGGCGCATTCAGTGGCGCCCCAGAAATGGCGCCGCCACCACACATGCGGCCACCGCCGTCCGTTTTCGGGGAAAGTTTCTCGCCGGAGCAGGGGTTTTCGGGACCTTCTTTCGGCGCGGACACGATGGCGCCTCCTATTGGCGGGTGGGGGTCGGTGAGGGCGGCGGTGGTCATCCGCAGCGGCGACGACGAGGACCAGTCGCGCCACGTCCCCATCGCCTACCGCCCGCCGCTCCATCCGCCCCGCCCGTGCGCTCTCAAGCTCCGCCAGCCCCCGCGCTGCACCTGGCGGAGGGCGTGACGATAAGGAAGGGCAACGACGACGACTTCGAGGCGTCGCAGGCCTTTCCGCTTTCCGCCAGCAGCTTCCGCGGCAGCGCCCCGCAGGTGAGTGAGCCGCTGGCTTCCGTTATTCTCGCCCGCTCGTGCGCCTCGCGCCCTGCATCGCTCCGCCGAGCTCCCCTGTTCCTCACCCGCCAATCCGCTACCACTGCTGCTCCCCCTCCACATCTTCCGCTTCCCTCCCCACATCCTTTCTCCGCACCCCTATTCCGCTCCCCCTTCTGCAGGCACCTCCGCATCTCCGCCGCCTCGACCCCGCGTTCCCCGGCGCCGAGTATCCCCCGACTGCCGCAGCCGCGCCGTGTTTCGACGGCTACGGCGGCCGCGGCGACTTCGGGCTTATACTTCCAGCCCGCAGCGCTTCGACGGCGCGTGTCGCGTTTCCCCTCCGCAATACTGAGGCGTTGGCGCAGGCCGCATGGGCGGGACCCCGCATGTGTATGCAGCGGGCGGAGGGGGCAGCGGGGCAGAATGGCCGGGCCATCAGTTCGGCAGCGACCCGGGTAGGGGAAGGCGGAGCTTGGACGGGGGTACTGCGCGCATGGGCATGGGGGCGATGAGGGACGCGAATGCGGCCGGCGAACTCCGCGAAATGGCAGGCGTGGGCAGCATGCGGACAGGACAAGGCGTGTTCACATCGCGGTCGTACGACGAGCAGAGGAAACCGCGAAATGTACGGCGAGAAGCCCGGGCAATGCGCGGAGCCGTGTGCGCGGATGGCATAGGTAGCGAGGGAAGCTGGCGGAGGCGGGGGCGAGTACTACCCGGGCGAGAGGGAGGCGGAAGGGCGAAGCGGCGGCGGGAGCCATCAGAGCGCGCTGTCGCTGAAGGAGGAGCTCGCGGCGCTCGACGGGGGCGGCGATGGCGCGCACGACGAAGCGCCTCTGCGGAGCTCCCAGCAACCCAACTCCGACGAAAGCTGGGTGCGCGTGTGAGAGGGGTGGCGGAAAGTGGGGATTGGAAACCGTAGGAAAGGGGGGAAAGGGGTTGGATGGGAAGCGGGTATCAAACGGAGAAACGGATAATGAGACAGGAGATGCAGCGATTCTGATAGTGTCGCGCGTCGCTATAACCTCTCGATACGAATCGTGCTACACAGCACAGGAGATGTGCGCAATACAGGAACGAACTACACTTAATCAGGCTTTAGGGTATGAGCACATTACAGGATTTGGAAAGCACTACGGAAATTACAGTGGCATGTTTCATTTTTATGCACAACCAAGAACAATTGAACTGTAAAGTTTGTTCATAGCACAACCACGCCGCACTACCCCAACACTGGTACGTTGCACAGTACGCCCCATTGTCGTGCCGCATGGCCTCATTGGCCATATCTTTTTTCCCTCCCCCTTTCTCCCCCCCCCACACCCACCTCTCCCTCCCCCTTTTTCCCCCATATATGCAACCACTTTCAGAACCTACCATTCAACCCGTCATGCGAATACCCTCAAAGCAACCAGTTCAAATACCACCCTAAACACTCCACCAACGTCACTGCAGATTCTGGTGCTTACTTGAGTGCCGACTTCTCCATCTACTCCTCCACCTCCCTCTCCCTCCCATTCCGCTCTCGCCACCCAACAACTGGCTTTCCTCCTGGCAGCAGTGGGGTGTGGGGGGATCCGTGGTGGCAGAGAGTGATGCAGGTAGTGTGATGGGCGCTGGGGGGGCGGGAGCAGGCGGCGATTGTCGTCTTTTTAACGCAAGAGCAGCTGGCGGAGGGCAACGGACAACTGGAGCCCGGCGAATCAACTCGGCAAGGGTGCCTTCGGCACGGTGAGCTCAGGGATATAATACTTAAATGGTGTTTAGGAAGAGTGTTTTAAAGGATGGTGAAAGAGCTAGCAGTAACACAACAATTTTACGTGTGATTTGAGGCGGATGAGTAACATGCCTCATTGCCTCCCCTGCGCCGTTTTTTCTCTCCCCCCTGTCAGGTGTATCGGGGCCGGGTGATGGGGTGTGAGGTGGCAGTGAAGCGGCTGGAGGGCAGCAGCTGGCAGGGCCCGGACCGAGTACATGACGGAGGTGGAGGTGCTGAGCCGCATGCGCCACCCACACATCGTGCTGCTCATGGGCCACTGCCACCGACGCCATGTGTCTCGTCTACGAGTATCCTGCCAGGTGGCTCCCTGCAGGACCACCTCAAGCCCACCGCCGGGCGGGCGGCCTTTGTCTGTGGTGTGAGCGGGTGCGGGTGGCGTCGGAGGTGGCGTCGGCGCTGCTGTTCCTGCACCACCACGACCCGCCCATCGCCCACCGCGACTTAAAGCCCGACAACGTGCTGCTGGACGCCAACCGCGGGTGCAAGCTGGCGGACGTGGGTGCTGGCGCGGCTGATCGCGGAGGACGACGCCACCACCACGCGTGTGCGCGGCACCGTGGGGTACATCGACCCCGAGGAGGTGCTCACCTTTGAGATCAGCGTGCTGTCCGATGTGTATGCCCTCGGGCTCATCATGCTGCAGCTGCTCACGGGGAGCCGGGCATCAAGAGCCTGCACAAGCGCATCAAGCCCTTCCAGGACGCCCTCGACTGCTACTGGGAGCAGGGGGGTGCTGTCGGCGGCAGCAGCAGCAGCGGCAGCCCCATGGTGGCAGGCCGTGGCAGCGCTGGTGTCAGATCACCTGGACGTCTCGGTCGGCGAGTGGCCGCTGTCCGTTGCTTGCCAGCTGGCAGAGTGGGGCCTGCGGTGTGCCGCCCGGCAGCGGGCGTGCCGCCCGGATCTGGCGGGGGAGCTGCAGCCGGCGCTGCATGGGCTGGTGGAGCAGATGGAGGCTGGGGAGAGGCAGCGGCAGCAGAGCATTGAGGACCAGTTTGTGTGCCCGCTCTCACATGTATGTGATGCTGTCAACCCTGCCACTTTCCACCTGTGCTCGTGTCCCTTTTTTGCCCCTCTCTCTTCCCCTCTTTCCTCGTTCTCTGGCCCCGCTCCCATTTTTTCAAGATCCCTCGCGCACTCTCCCTCGCCCCCGTTTCCTTCTCCACCTGTTTCCTTCTCCCCCTCTCCAGATGAGAATGACTGACCCAGTAGTAGCAGCAGATGGCTTCACCTACGAGCGCAAAAGCATAGAGGAGTGGCTCAGACAAATGACACATCACCATCCACTTATGAACCATTGCCACATAAATACCTCACACCCAATCATTCACTGCGCATGCTGTTGCAGTAAAAGCTTTTGGAGTTAGTTGGATCGGTACAAAATGAAGAGCTGCGTGTTTCTTGGTTTGTTGGTTGCCGCATTGTTGCTTGTGTGATAAGTGCTTCATTTCATTTTATTTGTGCATTGCCCTTGTGTAACGCGTTGTTTCGCCCCGACTTCATTATCACCACTGACGACGACGAATCATGAACATGGACCCTCAAGTTTTGCATCCCTGGATTTCGCGTCGAATCGCAGTCACAACTCGCACGTGCGACCCTAACAGCGAGGGCGATTTAGCGACGCGTACCAGCCCCAAGAGCGCGACGACATCCAAACCGAACCAATCAGGGCCATTCGTTGGTGGGGAGCGAAACAGCCCATGTTCATTCGCCCGCAACGCTATCCATCCAGCGCCCCTCTGTCTCACCAAGCCGAACCCCACCACGCCGTGCGGCGTCTTTCTATATCCCTTAGAAGCTGACTTCACCGCTCTTGCCTCGAACACTTCTACATTCGTTTGTCCCTCCGCACCAGTTGCCTGGTGATTGTTCTCTCCGCCATCGAGATCCTTTTCCTCTCTTTTCCTGTCTAGCTGTAAATGCTTGTTCCACTGCATGTAGTAGCTAATGAGCTCAACCGTAGATTCTAGAACTCCATCCTAGTTGTTGTAGCAGCGGTAGTTACCAAACTCTACTGGCATTTGCGCACGCGTCGTTTCCAGAGTTCGTCCTATTTTCGTTTACTTCCTCAGCCCACCATGCCCGCATCGCGTCTACTCGCGCCCCGCGCGCCCTCCGCTCTCGCCGACCTCACGGCAGTGATGCGGATTCACGACGCACCTGCCGCAGCTGCAGCCTCCTATTTATCTCCAGGCAGCGTGGTGCTTTTCCGTACGGCTTTGGGGGCGGAATTGGCGAGCGCGGTGTCAGCAGCTCCTCGCGGTGCGGCTGCCACCAGCAGCGCAGCTGCCGCGCTAGGCGGCACGCTCGACTGCTCGCAGCGCGCACACGTAAAGTAGTCATCGCGCGAGCCGCCATTCGCTCTGCTTCCCCCGCCTCCCTCTAGTCCTTCCGCTTCCGCTGGCCGCGTTCACGCCACACGTTGCTGCAGGCGCCGCCGCGACCGTGGAGGCGCAATCTGCGGCCAGCGCGGCTCTTCCAACCGTTGCAATCCCCACAGTTCTGCCACGTGGCATCGAGAAAGACAAAGAAGTCGTGTTGCTCGCAGAAAGTGCGGCGAAAGGGGAGGACGGAGCTGCATCGCGGGGGGTGGTCGCATCAGCGGTTGGGGAGCGAGCGGAGAGCGCTGGTCGCACGGTGACGAAGGCGACAACTGCGACTTCGATGATGACGACGACGACGACGATGCGGAGGAAGAGGACAACGGGGCCCCGTAGTTCTGCATGCTGCTGACGGTGAGCCGGCGCGGAGATGGCGGTGAGGAGCGCGAGAATGGGGGCGAGAGGCGCGGGGATGGGGTGAGAGGCGCGAGAATGGGGAAAGCGACTCGGGAGCGTAACGCCAGCAATGGTCGCAATGGCGTGTGGTTTCCGTCAAGCAGACAAGGGATGCCTATCACAGTCGTCAATGCCTTCGCGCCCCGTGCCACACCCATACGCCCCTCTCTGCCTCGTGTCCCCCCACTTCTCTACCCAAGCCTCCCCCACCCCACCCTCGCGCGCTCCTCGCCCCCCCTCTTCCCCCCTCTTTCCCCCTCTTTTTCCCCGCCAGTGCAGCGCGACGGCAGCGTCATCCTGCGCTTCGCCCCTCTGCCCGACCCCCTCGCGCCCACCGCGCACGCCCTCAGCCCTGCCCCCGCAGCACCACGGGCTGAGCGGGACAGCATTGGGGCGCCCAGGGGGGGCGGGGAGACGCCGCCAGGAGGAGGCGCGGCGGAGGTGCGGGCGGACGCGGGGGTGGTGGCGTTCGTGACGGCGTGCACAAGCGAGTTCAGCCGCGAGGTGCCCGACGCACTCATTGAGGAGATCGTGGGGCTGCCGCTCCGCCTCACCCCGTGAGTGCTGCAGCTCCGCCCCACCCCGTGACAGTTGGCGCATGGGGCTGTGCATCGCTCCACCAGCCACAGGCCTGACTGCCCCATCTGCCCTCTGCCCCCACCACCGTCCACCCCTCTGCCCTGTTCGCCACACCTTTCGTGCACCTGGCTCCTCGTTGCTCAGTTATATCTCCTGAAGTGTTTCGTCCGTTTCTCCACACTCATGCCCATGTTGTCTCGCAATTGATATCTCCCCCTCTCCCCTGTTTCTCCACCCTCCAATCAGAGTGGACCACATGGCAAAGTGGGTGGCCATCTCAGCGCACCACACTGTCGCCGCAATCAACCAAGTCATCGACCTGCCAGCCTCCGCCCTCCACCACGGCTCGCTTCCCTCCCTGCTGCACGTGCTTGGGCTGAGCAAGCCTCTCCTGCCTTCCGCCCCCTCTTCCTCGCCTTCCAGTGCACCTCCTGTGGTGGCCCCAACGGCACCATTCCAAGGTGGTCGACCCACACCTCCACCACCCGTACCAGTGTCTGCAGCAGCAGCCCTGCCAGCCCAGCATGCCCCTCCCTCCGCAGCTGCCTCTATTGCTGTCACCACCATCACAGGTGTTGTGCTGGCAGGCCTGGTTCAGTTCCTGGCCTCATTCGCAGGTCTGGTGGGACGTGTGCCGGGCGGCAGCAGTGGTGTGGGTCAGAGCAGGCTGCTGTGGAACCTTCCAGCAGCGACGGTGCTGTTGCTGGTTGCGGCAGTGAAGGTGTGGGCGGCATGGTGGCATCAGCACCACAGGCAGCAGGTGGGTGCAGCTGTTTAAGCAAGGGGGTCGTAGTTCCAATGGTGTGCACTTTGGGAGAAGAAAGCACAGGTAAAAAGGGCAAGCGGATACAGGCGTGTAGATAAAATGAATCAGTTAGGCAGAAGGTAGATGCAGGTGGGGAAAGGGAGAGGAGCAAGTGGCAGGGAGAGAGGAGGGATTGGGGAGGAGGGAGTGCGGAAAGAGAGGAGAGGGAGAGGTAGGGAAGGAGCCAATGGGGGGGGGTAAGTTGACATCCATATCCTGTTGTGTGTGTGTTTCTAGTGTGATTGTGTGTGGATTTGAGTGTGATTTGTACATATTCTAATATATATTTGATATATTTCGAACAAGCAGATTTTCCACAATAAACTGTTTCGGTTCTCTTCCTTTCGTGAGCTGCCAGACAGCTGTCTTCTATCGGAGCTGTCATTACGAAGGAACAACTAAACTAATCTTTTGACAGTTGTTGACGTTGATGAACGAGTGCCCCCTTTTGTTGGTCAGTTCCACAATTGTACACACCCTCGCAGGGTGAACAAGGGGATTGTACCCATCGGTGTGGCACATGGAGCAGCTCTCGTGGAGGCTGACAGGCTGGGCTAGCATGAGGGGCCATACCCGAACCCACATCCTTCGGGGGCAACCCAACCAGCCTTTGCGCCTCTACAGAGTTTTTGACAGCTTTTGAATGGTCTTGTGTGGGGCGACTTCCTTCAGCGGTTTGGGATGGAACACAACACGCTATCTGTCGTTTAGTGATCTGCCAGCTGGTTCTGGCTGGAGGGGCCACACCTCGCACACGCCCCTGACCATTCGTTGTGAGCGCATCTGTTCGTTTCCAACTGCCATTACCAGTCTGGGCAATGGGCCTGCCAGCGAGGGTCGTGTTACGGAGATCCCGTTTTTTTGTTCCCGAAGCACCCAGTGGCTGGCTGGGTTATGTTTTGTTTTCTACATCCTCAAGACCCTTTAAACGGTACAGTGCTTGCTTTACGAGTACTCGGTGGTTTCTTCCCAACCTATCCGCCACAATGACCGAGAATGGAAACGCAATACACCCTGTTTCGAGCCACACTGACATTCGCCATATTGACAAACCGGTTGTACTGACATCAATGCCTCCAAATTGGTCCCAGAACATACCGTATAAGCACTTTTGTCGCACGAAACCGAACTCAAAAGCACGTTTTTTTCATAAACCGTTGTCTACCGTTCTCCTGAAGTGCATTTCGGTTGCAAACAACAGCCCGCTGAATCCAAGCACACGTGCGCACTGTAGCCGGGGCTCCCGATTGTTCAAACGTCGAGAAACAGGGTGTAGTGTTCGGAAAGTTTTCCACCGTCCAGAACCAGGATTCGGTTGGTTGACTCTCCGGGGGAAAGGAAGGGAAGGAAAGGAAGGGGCGCTCGGGAGGTTGACTCTCGGGAGCCAGCCAAGCCGAACAGAACAATCGAGGGGTGTGTTTGCAGCACAGCAAGCAAGCTCGGGCACATTTGTACACCCTGTTTCGCGCTAGCAGAGCATCTGGTTGCAGAACATGCACAGGTTGTAGAACGTCACCACGTTTGAAATGGTCTTATCACCGACGGTACAAGCACATTCACAAGAAAGCGGTTAGCTAGGATGCTGCATGGTAAAGAACATTAACCAAGCGTTTCAAAGCGGTTGAAAAGGGTATACAGCGATAAAGAAAAATTTTGCCCCCAGTACCACTCCGTCAGCTGGTGCGGCTTTGCCCGCAGGTTTCAGCCATACGGTTTATGGCACCTGACCGCACTGTAGCAGCGAATCGCGCAAGGTGAGAGGGTCGAGAAACAGGGTGTACAAATGTGTTCGGCGGCACTCCACTCTGCTCCACTCATCCCGTCAGTTGTCTTCCCATCGCAAGACCTTCAGTTCCCTCAAACTCAACACCCAACATTCTGCAAAGGAATGCCTCTCACTCCTCAACCGCCTCGCAGGTCAACCTTAGAATCCTATGTGCAATAGGTTCATGGGCCGGCGCAGAGAGTTTTTCGTACATGTGCTCACACTGAAATAGAATCGACACACGATACGGAATTATCCAGCGACCACCAGTAGCAATCAATCACAGCATGGCGTCTGTCAGAGTAGCCGCCGACCCCCGTCAGCAATTCACGCAGTATGAAATCGACGAGCTTTTATCGCGTATATCATCGGGAGCCAGCAGCAACGCTGTGGACGCGATCATGGCGTCGGGAGCGGCGCGGCATTTGGCAGTGCGGCTCCTCACAGGTGGAACTGTCGTGGACGAGCCGCGTCCGCACAGCGCGGCGGCTGGCGGGAGGAGGACGGGCACGAGGTCGAACAATACGGGGCGGCCAGCGGGGCCCGTGCCGCAATCAATCTCGTGGGAAGGCCTGTCCTCTTCCCCTTCCCCGCGTTTTGCTCACACGGCGCGCTCCCCGGCTGCTCGAGTCAATTTCCTGGACACTTCGGACCCCGCAGAGCTTCGGATGAATAATTCCGCCTCGCGGAGACAGGCCGATGCAGTCAATTCTCTGAATTCGCGAAACACTGGCAGATCCGACTCGCCTTCCGCAATGCAGCGCGCTCGATCGGAGTCGCCGGCGCAGTTGTTGGAATCTCCCCGTTGCGGCACGCCGTCTGGAGTTTCCAGCTCTGGATTTCCCGCAGAACAAGTCTCGCGTAGGAAGCTGCCAGGAAGGTCGTTCTCGGCCCAATCTGAGCGGCCTCGCTCGAGCGGCCGCGTCGACGGCTGCAGGCGCGGCGCTGAAAGCACCTCTCCGGGGCTGATCAGTCCGCTGGACTTGCGGCGGCACGCAGGGTCGGAACGCGCTGAGCATTCCACGGGAGCGCGCGCGGCGCAGGGAGAAGCGGGCAGAGTGGGCGATCTGAGGCGCAACGTGCTTGAAAAATCGCTTTCTGACAGGCCGGAGCGCCCCTTGACGGCCGCGGGGAGGTGCGGCAGCGGCGGCAGGAGACTGAGCAGCGGGCTCGGGCGGCAGACAGTAGGAGACGAGCGCGGAAGGAAGGGGAAGGAGGCGGGGGTCTGGGCGGTGTGCGATAGGCTGATGGCAGAAAACGACAAGAGCACGACGCCGAGAGAGGGCGGTGCGGGGAGCCCGAGGGGTAACGCAGGGGAACAGAGACGGACAGGTTTGAAGGAGGTGCGGGGAGGTGACGTAAGGGAGCATAGTGCACACGGCGACTGCTGCAAAGCGCAGGAGATGCTGACGCGGCAGGTGGACGGGCTGACGCGGCAGGTGGAAGAGCTGACTCACACCAACGCGCAGCTGAGGGAGATGCTGCAGGTGCGGTCGGGGGAGGTGCAGCGCGCGGAGGAGGCGCTGAAGGTGGCGCAGGGGGAGCGGGACGCCCTGGCGCAGGAGATGGAGGCCGCCCTGCACACCTGGATGGCCCCCACGCCCAGAGCCGCCACGCCTGGGGCGGATGTGACTAACACGAGCGTGACAATAGAGGAGCATGCGGCAGTGGTGGGGCGGGTGGCAGCAGTGGAGAGGGAGAACCAGGAGCTGTGGGCGATGCTGGAGGGGCTCAGCGCACAGAGGGAGGCGGAGCTCAGGCAGACCGAGGGGCTGCGCATGAGGGTCAAGTGCATGGCAGCGGCTGCTGGCAGCCCGGCCAGCACAGGCAAGAATGGTGGCGGGTCACCTGATGGTGGAGCTTCCCCTTCCAGAAACCATGGCTCCAACACGACTTCGGTCAATAGAGCACCCTCGGCTTCCCGGTTGCCTGGTCACAGGCACCAAAGCTCACTGCACTCAGTACAGTCGGTGCCTAACCCAGCAATCCTTTCTCCCTCTTCTCCAATTAATGCGAGACGGCGCTTCCCTACGAGCGCCTCTGTCCCGGGTCCAGTGCAGGATCATGGTCACAATAACGCGAAGTCCCAGAGGCTTGTGGTTGAGGGATCCTCTCTTAGTGTTGGCTCGAAGAAGAAAGTCTGGTTCGGGCAAGATTGATACTACCGTAAATCTACATACACCCTGACCTGGCTCATATTTCATTCTTTCATAACTAGTTCAGTTACGGTATTGGCAACAAATCAAACCGAAAGCTCGTGTTCGCAACATTTCGATCCTCATATCGCAGAGCGTTGAAGCTCGTCATTTCACAACCAATCAAGCAGTGGACGGTGGGAACAGGCAATCCACGCCCACCGTCGCTGCTGCTGAACTTCAGCAGTTTCTTCCTGCACAAATCGTCATTTTGTTGTGTCGCCGCGCGCTGCGTCTTAGGCTGAGTCTTCTTTGCTAGATCCTCGCTTCTTCACAAGCTTGTCCAAAAGCGCAGCGAGAACTCGCCATGGACAGTGGCGCTGTTCACAGCAGCTGTAAATCTTGGTTCATACGAGCGACTTCTTGTGTGCGCTATGCGTGTACTTTTTTTTATTATCTACTCGTTCTCGCGGTACTACCATCTTTGACGAGTCAACGATGGCTTCTTGCCGACTCGGTCCCGCGCTACTTCTCTTCCTGGCCTCCATGATCGTGACGCTTCCGCCGATTGCAGCCAACGCATGGGATTTTGGCCGGCATGCGGGGGAAGCGATGCGCGCGCTATTGAGCCTCCCCCAGTACAGCTCGTCAGTTCCCATGCTGCAAGCAATACGTCAGTCCCAGCGCTCGTCCCTCAAGCAATACCAGTACAGTCAAAAGCTAGCCACCGCATGCTTTTTAACAAAAACGAAAAACCCTTGCGTTCTTCATCCGCGATGGTGTTTCTGGCTGTGGGTTACATATTAATTCAACCCCTAGCTTGATTCCTCCCCCCCACCTTTCGTCCCCTGATGTGTCCGATCCAGTCAGCACCATGTCGGAGGCGAGCGCGAACTCGTCGGGTTTCAACCTCTCAGTGACCCCTGTGACGCTTCTAGTGCCTGTCAACCCCAACCAGCTCTGCCGCTCCCTCAAGGGGTTCAAGGCGCGTTCACTCCTCCGCCTCCTCGCGTTCCACATCGTCAAAGGGCTCTACACGCAGGAGAGGTTGACAGCTTTGCCTCGCGGCGCCA